CTATTACTACGTAGTACTATTATTTATTATGTGCTATCACGTGATAAGTAGGTAGGTTTTCAATCTACGATTGCACCTGTTGCGCCTCATGTTACAAATGTTTTTACTTATAAAATCTTATAACATCGATATATTAAGGAATTAATTTTAATAAGCTGTAAGTAAATCATTTAATAAAGGGAAATTGATATACATTTATTTTTATTGCCGTGTAGCGGCGGTGTAAGAATAAGTATCCATTATCCCATATCGTCACGTGGGTGTCGGTAAGAGGCGACAGAAGTAAATTTAAACAGGTGATGAGCAGCAGCATCTTCCTGATATCAACTCAAAATAATAATAAAAAACGGCTGTTGACAACCCACATAGCTGAGCTGTTGACAAATGGCATAGCTGAGCGTACTTGAAATTGCTCATACGGCCAGCAGTGATGGATAGTGAAGAATAACTTGTTTAGCATCTTCTTATATAAAAAAATGGACTATATTTACTCGTTTAGCTTGTCAACGAAAAGTATGTTAAATTCATACATAAATATATAATTTTACAGTACCACGTATAATTTTAAACGTAGTAAAGCCATGCTGCAGCTATTAGTAGTATAATTGTAGCACGATTGGGTCGACTCGACCGGGGAAGGACCACGCTCTCACAGAATACCAGCGTAAAATAGCAGCTTAATGCTGCTGTGTTTCGTATGGTGAGTGTAGAGAACCGGAGACCAATTTTACTGGAAAAGAGTCATTCCATCTTATTCCTCACGGGTGACGACGCATCTGCATTTTGATTCCTTATTGAGGAGAAATGTAGACGTCTATGGGTCACAGCAACCACTTACCATCAGGTGGACTGTGTGCTCGTTTGTCACCCTATCCTATAAAAAAACATTTAGAAACAGCATAGTAGCGATCGCCTCATTCCCAGGGGTTATTATCAATGATGTACTACTCTTTAGTAGTATAATAACACTTAATAGACAATTATTGCTTAATACATATTTTTTATAGATAAGGTCTGCATATTTTTGGGACTTTGTTATAAAAGCAACAAACAGCAAAAATAAGAACATCAAAATACCTTAGGATAAGTATTTTATTACAGTATGTGTAGTGTACCTAGTTTCACATTTCATTTAACGAGAAACACGTGTAAATAAAATTAGTTTTAGTTAAATTATAGTTAGTAACGCACCACTAACGGCTTCTGTGTGGATTTTGTGGCTTGTGTGGCTTCTGGCCGTATTCGGGAGCTCAATAATACCATCATTATCATTACAGCCCTTCACAAGTCCCCTGCTGAACATAGGCCTCCCCCAAAGAATGCCACAAAGCACGGTCCTGAGCCACCTGCATCCATCGACTTCCTGCATGTCTTACCAGGTCGTCACTCCATCTCGTGGGGGGACGCCCTACACTTCGCCTACCGGTACGAGGCTGCCACTCGAGAACCTTTCTTCCCCATCGGTTGTCGGTTCTTCGAGCTATATGATCGGCCCACTGCCACTTCAGCTTACTAATTCGTTGGGCTATGTCGGTTATTCTGGTTCTACTGCGGATATCCACATTCCTAAGTTTATCACGCAGAGAAACTCCAAGCATAGCCCTTTCCATAGCTCGCTGAGCGACCTTGAGCTTCCTCATACGGCCAGCAGTGAAGGTTCAGTTCCACGTCTCAGTTCCGTAAGTCATCACTGGCAACACGCACTGGTTGTATTATTTCGTTTTAAGGTTTTGAGGTATGTCTGACGAGAAGATGTGTCGTAGCTTCCAGAACGCTGCCCAGCCGAGTTGAATCCGTCGATTGACCTCTCGGTCGAAGTTGGACTTACCTAGTCGGACTATTTGTCCCGGGTAAACATACTCGTCAACAACTTCGAGCTTAGTGCTCCCAACATCTACCGGCATAGGTGTGACATGGACATTAAACATGATCTTTGTTTTGTCCATGTTCATCTTAAGACCTATCCGTTGGGAAACACTATTGAGGTCATTGAGCATAGTGCTTAGGCCCTCCAGCGATTCTGCCATAAGGACTATATCGTCGGCAAATCGAAGGTGAGTGATGTACTCGCCATTGATGTTGATACCGTATCCTTTCCAGTCCAGAAGCTTGAAAACATCTTCCAATGCAGCGGTAAAGAGTTTCGGAGATATGACGTCACGCTGTCTTACACCTCTCTGCAATTGGATAGGTTTCGTACTCTGGTTCTGTACTCGGATAGCCATCGTAGCCCTACTGTACAAGCACTTCAACACTTCGATATACCGACAGTCAATTTGGCACCGCTGAAGGGACTGCAGCACCGCCCAAATTTCGACGGAATCTAAGGCTTTCTCATAGTCCACATACGCCAGACATAGTGGCAAATTGTACTCTTCGGACTTCTGCACAACTTGCCGAAGGGTATGTATGTGGTCTATGGTGCTAAAGCCCTTTCGGAAACCGGCTTGTTCGGGAGGCTGGAAGTCGTCAAGTCTGCGCGCGAGACAATTCGTAATGACTCTCGAAAACAGCACGTAGACGCGGCTCAGAAGGGAAATCGGTCTGTAGTTCTTCAAGAGAGCGTTGTCACCTTTCTTGAAGAACAAGACCACCGCACTTCTGCTCCACGCCTCCAGTGTAATGCCACCATGGAGGACGGAATTAAAGAGCTTCTGAAGGACTTCAAGTACCGGTCTTCCACCCGCTTTCAGAAGCTCCGCTGTAATTCCATCCTCGCCTGGGGCCTTACCGTTTTTAATGTGCTGGAGAGCCATTCTAATCTCGCTGCCCATAAAGTGTACAGCTCGAAGTGTACAGCTGCCCATAGAACCTCTCAATCTCACTCAAAATCTCAGGTGTCCCGGAAACGATGCTGCCACATTCCGTCTTCAGCTTTGACAGTTGGCTCTTTCTGGCAGACAGATCTCTGGCAAAGACTTTGGAGCCTTGGTTCCGCTCTATCGCTTCTTCAATACGAGCTGTATTGAAGTTGCGTAAGTCCCGCCGCATGCATTTGAAGATCTGTCTGTTCAGATGCCTGTATGCTGTCAAGACTGTTGAAGAATGTAGCTTCATCTCCCGTCTAACAGTCATGAGATTAAGAGTGTGATCGGAGAGTTTTTGTCTTGCAGAACTTAGCTCCGACCGCATGGACAGTTTCCACGAGCTTGTCATTTATATCGTCCACTTCATTGCAGTCTTCTAGGCACTGAAAACGGTTTTGTAACTCGAGCTGAAAGGTTTCGGGACTTTGGAACAGAGCACGAGGGGGACGGAGCGTTGACTTCATTAGACGAGACCTCTCCAACTTAACGTTTAGGTTCAGTGTGCCTCTAACCATTCGGTGATCGCTACCAGTTTTCACCCTCGCGATCACTGAGACATCACTGAACAGTTGTCGTCTGGTCGTTATAATGAAGTCAATCTCATTTTTTGTCGAACTGTCGGGGCTCGACCAGGTCCACTTCCTGTGGGGCCGCTTCTGGAAGAAAGAGTTCATCATAAATAGTCCCTCTTTCTCCATGAAGTCGGCCAGCTGCTGGCTCCTTGGGTTCCGTTGCCCTATTCCGAATTTCCCTACTTTCAGCTCACCGTTCTCTCTTGTGCCTAGTTTTGCATTGAAGTCTCCCATTAACACCGTATATTGGGTTTTGGAGGAATGCATGGCTCTAGAGATATCCTCATACATTTCCTCCACCTCCTGATCGGGGTGTGCCGAGGTTGGTGCGTAAACCTGTATGACCTTCAGCGAATACCGTTTGGTGATTCTGAGTATAAGGTACGCAACCCTCGTCGACACACTCCCGATCTTTACAACGTTGTTAACGAGAGACTTGTGGACGATAAATCCGACACCTCCTTGGGACAGATGGTCGCCCTCCCGGTGATAGAGCAAGTTGCCGGATTCGAGGATTACCGTGTCCTCCCCCTCTCTTCGGACTTCGGATAATCCTATAATATGCCAGCGCAACTTGTCTATCTCTTCTTCCAGCTCCACGATCTTCTCGTCAGTCCTCAGGTCAGTGGCGACCATGGTAACGGCGGGGCAGGGGCCCCGCCGTTACCATGGTCGCCACCGTAGCCAGGAATAGCGGGGCCGCCGGGGACTAGGGGCCGGCTGTTTGTTGCTTTAGTCATGGGGGGTATTTGCCTTAGTTGCCACGCTTGGCGAGCGGGTTGGCAACCGCAGTTTTTTTATTATAATTTTGGCTATTATCAGGAAGATGCTGCTGCCCATCTTCTGCCTGTTTCCCTTTGTTGCCTTTTACGACTCCCACGGGAGGATATGGGGTAGTGGATATTCTTGACCGCCACTACACGGCAATACCACAGATAATATTATGCGCCTGTTTATTATAATCAATGAACTCTTAAGATAAATGTTACGAGTGCAATAAAAACTAAAAGTGAAGCACCGTGCATCGCAATCCATCATTTATCTTTAAATCTAAGCGATAAGATAACATACTACTTCCATCGATGTTATATAAATTTAATGCTTTGCAAGTTATTCCTGACATTTTTGTCCTGCTTCAATCAAATTAAACTTAATATTTATTACCAATTCATACGCAAATATACTTTATTGGAGTCTCATTGATTCTACGTTAATTCCAGTAACTGAATTTGGTAGAACGTAATAACAATATTGCCTGTACTTAATTTTTATTTCTTATTTCGGGTAGTATCATAATATCTCAAGTCTGCGTTAGACCTAAAACATAAAAATGTTTTGGAGTTCTCTTGACTATGTTTACACGCAGTTAGTTGCAAATGATTGGAGTGGCTATTGTAGATTTATTTTATTCACTTTTGTTGTGATTTTATGCACTTTGCTCCTTCAAAGACAAATCGAATATAACAGAACACTCCCACCTGGTAAGTGTTAAATGGAATAACTAAATTTTTTTAAAGTAATATATCTGTTTGTTATAATTTAGTTTGTTAAATGAAAATATAATGAAGTTATATTTGTTTAAGGGCCGTGGGGTATACCGATACTCGGTTACCTGCCATGGATGAGCAAGGGATCACCGCACTCTTGGTACCTCTCAATGAGTGCTCGGTACGGTGATATAGCTTCTGTAAGGCTCGGTTCAAACCTTGTTGTATGCATCAGCTCTACAAAAATACTAAGAGAATTGTTTAACAGATTTGAATCAACCGGTCGCCCACAAACACCATTAAACGCTTTGATGGGTGGACTAGGTTAGTAAATATAACCAAATTAAATGTTACTCGTTGTTATTTAGATTAAATGTTTTAACATTCGAAAGTTTTCACATTCGAAAGTTTTCACATTCTGTTTGAAATTTTAGGTATAGTTCTAAGTGAGGATATTTTATGGAAACGACAGCGATATTTCCTTCATGACAAATTTCGTGCGCTTGGAGTAAACTTGTGGAAGAATCAGCGATTGGAGAAAATTATTATGGTAATTTTTGTATAATATTATTTAGCAAAAAATTATGGCCATTTTGACTTAAGTATATATTAGAGTTCCCGCTTTTTTGTCAAAGAATAAATTATGTGTTACATTTAAGTTTATAAGGCCGGCCACATACATTCGAAATTTTTCGAAGGGGATTCCGAACGTAGCAAATCCATATAAAATCAAGAACCTATCACACACGTACAGTAGTAGTTTTCCGTTCAATATTTACTTTATTATTGGAGATAGGAGAAAATTACTGAATGCATCCCCATAATACCTTAAGATTGTAATATAGTCAATATTACGTAAAAAGATCTATCTATCAAGAGATTTTTTCTAAATATGATGTCTATAAACTTTTTCGACGAATTATTAAATAAAATAAGATGAAAGGTTACGAAACGAGATACACATAATATAAGATTACATATAAAAACGTACTTGCTTCGGTTTTGCGACGCACACTGGGCGTGTTCCGCACGGAATTCACGAATGTGTGATGCGACTCGAAAAATCCATGAAATATGCGTTCGGAACGAGTTTTTTCCGTGCGGGATTCGGAACGCACAGGCAGCACGGAAAACTAATGTTCGTGTGTGATTGTTCCTTGACTTTAATTTGCTGCATTTGGAATCCTGAATCGGAATTCCGAATGTATGTGGCCGGTCTTAGGGTCTAAACAGATATCTCGTCTCGAAGACACATTAATTATTTGGAAATTTTTTAAACATCTTTTTATTTAGGGACTTTCATTTACAGGGTGACGATGACGATTCCATCAAACCCTAACCTGAACTAAAACAATACAGATAAAAATTAACTCAAATTAAAATGAATTATGCATACCCCACCCAGCGTAGCAACAATGGCAAATTACCCGCCCTTCTATAAGGTAATCTTTGGGGGAGTCCTATGTCAAGCAGCGGACTGTTATAGGCTTTAATGATGAATAGAATTAATAATGAGGATATCATTACGTTCTACTACAACAAAATAGCTAGTTGAAGTAGCTAGTACAACAACATAGCTAGTACGTGGTAGAGCCATGCTGCAGCTATATTAGTAATATAGTTGCAGCACGAATGGGTCGGCTCGACCGGGGAAGGACCACGCTCTCACAGAAAACCAGCGTAAAATAGCAGCTTAACGCTGCTGTGTTTCGTATGGTGAGTGTAGAGAACCGGAGACCCTTTTTACTGGCAAAGAGGCATTCCATGTTATTCCTCACGGGTGACAACGCATCTGCATCTTGAGTCTTTATTGAGGATAGATGTAAATGTCTATGGGTCACAGTTACTACTTACCATCAGGTGGACTGTGTGCTCGTTTGTCACCCTATCCTATAAAAAAAGCGGTTTCTATAAAAAAAGGAGTTTCTCTGTGTGATAGAATTCAAAATGAGAATATTCGTAGTAGAATTGAAATAGTCTAAAAGGGCCAATATAGGGACCCCACTAGTTGGTTAGACGACCTGGTAGAACATGCAGGAAGTCGATGGATGCAGGTGACTCGGGACTGTTTTTTGGCATTCTTTGGAGGTGGCCTATGTTCACCAACGAAATGGAAGAGTTGTAATGATGATAATGATGATTATATCGACCTATCTATCATCCTATCTATGTACATGTCTTTTTTATATATTTTGATGTGTCTTTTGATAGTTACGATTAATGTCTACCAAATGTATGTATTATAAGAAAAAATCATCCATTGAACAGATACTATGAATTGGAAGGAATTACCATAATTGCAATGTTTTCTTGGTTGGTAAACGTAGATTTTGTTTTAAATTGATGCAATAACTTAAATAAAAATTTTAGGCTGAGATCGAAGAATTATTAAGAAATCTTGAAAAACGAGCAGAGGAGCCGGTTGATCCTGTAATGGTTCTTGGCAGACACTTGCATAACGTAATCTGCCAATTAATGATGAGTTTCCGCTTCGAAGAAGGCAACGAAGAATTCGTAATTTTTAACGAAAGACTGTCCAGAAGTATGAACCTTTACGGCTCAATACACATTGGAGAGCATTTGCCGTGTTACCTGGTTAGTACAATATATCAACCTCTGATAAAAGTACTTTTATTTATGCAAAAATAAGAGGTGTCTACGTAGTAGAGCCATGCTGCAGCTACATACATATATTAATAGTATAGTTGTAGCACGAATGGGTCAGCTTGACCGGGGAAGGACCACGCTCTCATAGAATACCAGCGTAATAGCAGCTTAATGCTGCTGTGTTTCGTATGTTGAGTGTAGAGAACCGGAGACCCATTTTACTGGAAAAGAGGCATTCTATCTTAGTCCTCACAGGTGACAACGCATCTGCATTTTAATTCGCAAACGAAGATAGATGTAGAAATGTCTATGGGCCACAGCAACCACTTACCATCAAGTGGACTGTGTCTTTATTTGTCACCCTTATTCTATAAAAATAAGGTCAGAAAATTGGGTCAGAGGGAGGAAAGCAATTTGGGTTATTCGCAATTAATGGTAGAAATTATCACTACGGTTATAATTACTAACACTAATTGCCATTCGAATTTATAGCAGCACATGATGACGTTATCATTAATAAATCAAAAATAATTTCATTTACAATTTTCAATAAATTGTTAACATACTTAGTTTTGTTATAGAAACTACCCGGTAAAAAAACCGTGCTAAAAGAAATTAGACGCAGTTTGCAAGATATCAGCCAGTTTCATGCAAAACATATTGAAAAACGTCTTAAAAAAAGAGCTGATCTATCTGGAAAAGAAGAACAAAATGATCTTTTGGATTACTATCTGGAACAAATGCAAAATGAAGAAACGGGAGCAGCTCAGGCAATATTCAATAATGTCGATCCAGGTATTTAAGGATTTGGTCAAAAGTGTGCAAAATTTAAAATCAAAAATAAATTTGAATTTAAATTTTGCACACTTTTGACAATAGATTTCCTATAATTACTTCGCTTAGCAGATAGATAGACGATAACTATAATTCATTAATACATTATTTAACAGTAAAGCAAATAGTACAAGTAATGAATGACCTTTTCTCGGCGGGCATGGAAACTTCTAGGACCACCATTGTTTGGCTTCTTCTGATGATGCTAAGGGAGCCAAAAGTAGCGCAGAAAGTTATGGATGACTTGTCGAACGTTGTGGAAGTAGGCAAAATCGTCACAATGGAGCACAGATCCAAATTACCATATGTAGAAGCAGTAATTTATGAAACTCTACGCAGAGTGTCTGTAGTTCCGTTGGGAACTACTCATGTTAACACCAAGTGGGTATAAAAAAGTCTTTTAAACTGTCTGTGTGATAAATACAACAAAAATACTTAGCACCATGTTACTTTATAGGGAATGGGAAATCAATGGCTACTCCATACCTGCAGGCACGCATATAGTGCCATTGATAAACAAAATTAACATGGATCCCAAATACTTTTATGAACCCGAAAAATTTCTTCCGGAAAGATTTCTTAAGAACGGAGTGTTATGTATTCCTGAATGTTTTATACCGTTTGGAGTTGGACGACGCATATGTTTGGGGATGCATTTGGCTAGAATAGAATTGTTTTTATTTTTCACCAATATAATGAATAATTATAAGTTTACCCTGGCTGATGGACAAGAATTACCAGGGCTAGAAGGAACTTTTGGTGCAACGCATTCACCACGACCTTATACTCTTATTTTTAAACAGTTGCAACTCAAGTAATAACAATATTTAACGATAGTTTAGGCATTTTTTTTAAATTAACATAATTAATTTGGATCCGCTTTTTTAAATAATTAAAATTAATATGGAACATGAATCATTGTCCACGTATAATTGAATATACAATTGCTTTTATTTAATACAATTTGTTATTAGATATACTTTGTCAATGTTCTATAAAATTATATCTAATCTGACTAAATTCAATAAAATAAATATAAAATAGATTATAATATTTTATTTTCATGAACTTAAGGAATAATTGTAAGTTTACCCTGGTTGATAGAAAAGAATTACCAGGACTAGAAGGAAATTTTGGGACAACGCATTAACCGCGGCACTATACACTCATTTTAAAATAGTTGTAAGCTTAGTTGTAAGTCGAAGAAATAACTATTAGTCAGTAGTCTGGGTGTCAGTAGTAATGTTTTTTGTTAGTAATATTTAAGGATATTTTAGGTATATTTTTTTAAATTAACGTAATTAATTTGCTACCACTTTTTAATAAATAAAATTAGTAGGAAACATGAATAGTTGCATATGCATTTTTACTTTGTCTTTTACTTGAATACGACTGCTTTATTACAAGTCCAAAACTAAATATTCAAATTTGTCACTCCTTTATAAATAAATCCTTATTAAATCTAGCATAATTATTCAATAAAATATACATAACATACATCACCAGACTTGTATTTTCGTAAATTATATTTAACAAATGTTGAATCTTACGAATAGATCTTTTATTTAGTTTCCCTGTCCGCGACATAGACACAATAGTTAAACAATCTAAATGTTCTTATATGATTTATGGTAAAGTTAAGGGATAATTTTGTTATATGTGTTATGTACTGAAAGCCGACTTAGGACAATTTTTGCATAAATAGGTCTCTAGCAGATACGAGGGTGACACTGAAAGTTGTTAGAAAATCAAAAACTGAACAAACTAGCAAGTAATTAGTTTTATTATATCTTTTCAAAATAATGTCCATTTACATCAATACATCGCTGGATCCGATGGAACCACTTTGCCCACTCGTCCTTAGGGGTCTCTTTGACGGCATTTTGAAACGCAGCCGCTGCTTCCTCGGCGTCTATAAAACTTTTTACTCGAAGTTTATCTTTTATTTTCGGAAATAAATAAAAATCGCAAGGTGCGAGGTCGGTGCGGGTGAACCAGTAACTCCACGTCTGACGTCGCTAAGTAGTCGATTGTTTGCTTGACGGTGTGCGACGAGGCGTTGTCGTGGTGAAGGAGGATCCTACTGCGAGGTCGTTTCTTTTCCAAGACAAGTAGCAAACAATTGTTAGTGTATCACTCTGCAGTAACTGTTTTTCAATCCTTTAAAACAATTGTTGCGTAATGACCTGTCCTTCCGAAGAACGAGGCCACCATCTTTTTTCCCACGCTTCGACCTCGCTTCACATTAGTTGGCAACTCCTCGGAACGAAACACCCAGACAAAAGACTGTCTCTTAGTTTCAGAACCATAACAATAAATCCAGTTTTCGTTACCCGTAAGTAGGTACGTCGAACATAGCATTTGAGTCACTTCTGTTAAATCTTTGACCATTTTACGACACCAATTAACACGACGGAGTTTTTGGGCCTCTGTCAAATTATGAGGTTTCCACCGGGCACAAAGCTTCCTAATCGCTAAATGTTCATGGAGGATTTTGTGCACTTGTCTCATACCGATGCCTGAGCTTGTCCGAATTTGCTTATAAGTCACTCTTTTGTCAGTCTCTATCATACGCCGCACAACAATGATGTTACCTTCAGTCGTCGCCGTATAAGGCCGTCCCTCACGCAGATCATCGGTGAGATTGGTGCGACCACAGTAGTGTAGTTGTACCACTTCTAGACCACCTGAGTCAGACGTGGTTCAACGACGTTCGTCGACGCCCGATCCTAAAAAAAAAAAAAAAAAAAAAAAAAGGTTTTGGCATGCTCTGATCACGAATACGCGGTCAATTTTTGTGTAGAATGCACGGTTCCGGAGATGTGTAGATCAATTAGCTATCATTAGCGTCCCATTGTTGTTCCTATTTCTATTGTTCTATTGTTCCTTAATCACCTTCATTGCAGCGTGTGCGTCGACTATATCAGTGCTATTGTATTATAATTCTTTGTTTATACAACGCTAATCTGAATCATCAATAAAACACATTACATAATTTTGTTACAATTTTTATTTATAAAATACAAAATATTATTAATTATTATCTATAAAATAGGAGCGAAACATCTCATCCACTAAAATATCGTTGTACAATGTGTTCCTTGTAAATATACTCGTAAAACTATGTATTGAACATCCTTGAAACTTATATAGTAAATACATTAAGCAATATTCGCCACAAACTGAAGTCCACTCATTCTGAATCCTATCAACATTCCAGTTCCATCTTTTACAATTCCTTTTTAAAAACTCTAGATGATATCGTACAGGTGATCGTCCATATGAATCAAAATATTGACCGACGTCATTCGTATCGATATATAAAGCTACCCAATGTGACCCTGGTTTATCATCTGTATCCAAATTACATATTATATACGTTGGTACGTGGGTATACATAGGCAGTCTATTAGCTGCATAAACATTATTTTCTAGACTGGGGTGAATCTTTTTCAGATGTTGTTGTACATCTAGTGTATCCATGATATTACTACTATTAGTAGATTATTACAGTACCTAGCTACTCAATGAATAACATAGGAATGGTCAATTATAGTGATTTCTACATATTAAATTGCATTTTTGTGATATACAAATCGTACTTGAGTCATTGATCACCAAACAAAACACAATACGAAGAAATGTTGAGATAGGCAACGGAAATGTGAGATAAACTGATATGTTTCTAAATATTAAATTCCATTTTTGTGTTATACAAATCGTACTTGAGTCATTGATCACCAAACAAAACACAATACGAAGAAATGTTGAGATAGGCAACGGAAATGTGAGATAAACTGGTTGACGCATAAAGTAATTATCAACTCATTACGGAAATACTTTAGATTAGAATTTTTACGTACTGGTGGTATATAAGACCAACAAACGCAGTCATCGAGTTAGTGTACGATCGTTTGGCTACAGTGGATCTATCAATAGTACATTTGTGTTACTTCAATACACCAAAGGCTATGGATGTAAGTGTTTATTCTATTGACTAAATTACTTTTTTTCTGTTATTTTCATGTGTGTGTATTATTTTATTTAAATATTGTGTATGTATATGATTAAGCCGTGGTAACTCAGATGGTTAGCGCTAGCTGTAAATTTCACAGTACGCGACCCGGGTTCGATCCCCGCCAGCACCAATTAAATTGTTAATAGCAATTTTAAGTGCTTATTACCACGTGTTCTGTTATTTTCATGTGTGTGTATTATTTTATTTAAATATTGTGTATGTATATGATTAAGCCGTGGTAACTCAGATGGTTAGCGCTAGCTGTAAATTTCACAGTACGCGACCCGGGTTCGATCACCGCCAGCACCAATTAAATTGTTAATAGCAATTTTAAGTGCTTATTACCACGTGCTTGGTGGTGAAGGAAAACATCGTGAGGAAACCTGCATGTCTGAGAAAATTTCGAAGGCATGTGAAGTTCGCCAACACACATTGAGGGAGCGCGGCGGACATTTCCTTGCTCTAAAACCCTCTCAGAAATGAGAGGAGGCCTATGTTCAGCAGTGGACTTTAATAGGCTGTAACTTTAACTTTTTTAACTTTTATGATTAAGTGTGATTAAGTGTTAACAAATTGATATTAACATGATAACTGTGTTGTTGCAGAAATCATTGAGCTTCGATGAAGATACCTATAAACAGTATTACTACTCGCCACTCTCCCCTCAAGAAGAGAGTGATAACCTCGTCATTAATAATAACACATGCGATGGTGGAAAAAGAAAATCGCAATCGATTGATCATTTTTTTGAAGCTGAATCAAAAATAAAAAAGAGGAAGGGAAAACTTCAGTGAAGTGTGCACCAGTGCTTTTTTCTCCACAATCATGGAAGAGAATACGGAACTATTCAATAGCGAATTAAATCAGGAGTTGTCTAAAGTTTGTGAAGAAATGGAGAGGGGTCAACTGTTCGATTCGTCATACGATGATGAGTTGTATCATCACTGTGCGATGGTTGAAACACAGTTTAAGTATGTAAAATAAACATTCATTTCGATCATAATTTACATATTGTCTTATACAGTTTTTAATAAATTTAAACATTTTAGCAGTCAACCACTACAACTTGGAAGAGGAACGAAGCGAACGTGCAGCAAAGAATCCAAGATCATCAAAAAACCAACAACGGAAGCAGAAGCGCATACCTCTGCAGGGAACAGTATCAGTAACGATGATCAAGTGGAATGTCCAACGTGCCATATATTTATCAAGAAACGGTATTTAGCTAATCATTTTAAAAGTAATGTTCATAAAAATAATCTTTTAAATTCACATAATTCTTTATCAAACGTTAGTGTTATTGAATCTGCTTTTGGAAATAGGATTTTAACTTATAAAATCAAGAGTAGAGTAGATCGTTCGACATGGGTAAATTTTGAAACTCCTGAACTATTTTTAAATTCTATTAAAGATGATATTTTATTTTTATTACAAGAGTGTATTCATCAACACATAATTTTTAAGGTAAACTTCATATTGCATGCTGATTTTGTTCAACAAACTAAAGATATTCATGATACGTTCGATTTTCAAACGCTTAACTATATTATTTGTCAAGGAGATGACTTAAATATTTTTCTTTCATCTTTAAATGATACAATTACTACTAAAATTAGTGCTTTCGAAAAAAAAGATAGTGGATGGAGTCTAAAAAACATAAAATCTATAGACATGAATGTTAATAAATTTAACCCCCTACGCGGTACTTCATACATAGATCTTCCTCGTGACATAAAATTAAAAAAGGCTGTTATAAATGTAAAAAACAAGGATTATTTTTGTTTTAAATGGGCGTTACTC